GCTCCCGGCCACCGCAGCCTCGACCTGCTGGGCTCCGGCGATCCTTCCGCCTCAGCCTTCCGAGTAGCTGGAACTGCAAGTGCCCGCTACCACGCCCGGCCAATTTTTAATTTTATTGTGGAGACGAGGTATCGCCAAGTTGCCCGGATGGGTCTCAGACCCGCGGGCTCCCAAAGTGCTAGGATTACAGGTCGAATCACCGACCCCGGCTAAGAGGAAACTCTTCTCGCACTAGGGAAGGCAGGGCCGGCCACTAAAAGCCACGCGGCGACGCCCAAGGACACGCCCCCCCTCGTCCCTCTCGCGAGCTTCTTCCCCCCCTCCCTCGACGAACCGGAAGAAGTGAAGAAACGCGAGCTACAGTAAGGAGGCGTGGTGCCGCTCTGACCAATGGTAGATGAAGGCGTGGTTTTAAGCCTTTCTCTCATTGGCCCAGATTCCCACGCCGCCCGGTCTAGGCGCTCGGCGGCGGAAGTCGCGCGGGCTCCGGAACGCGCCCTGAGCTTTGGATCCTGCTATTCCGCCTGCTGCCATCATGGTGCGGAAGCTTAAGTTCCACGAGCAGAAGCTACTGAAGCAGGTGGACTTTCTGAACTGGGAGGTCACCGACCACAACCTGCACGAGCTTCGCGTGCTGCGGCGTTACCGGCTGCAGCGGCGGGAAGACTACACGCGCTATAACCAGCTGAGCCGTGCCGTGCGCGAGCTGGCGCGGCGCCTGCGAGACCTGCCTGAGCGCGACCCGTTCCGCGTGCGCGCCTCGGCCGCGCTGCTGGACAAGCTGTATGCTCTGGGCCTGGTGCCCACGCGCGGCTCGCTCGAGCTCTGCGACTTCGTCACGGCCTCGTCCTTCTGTCGCCGCCGCCTGCCCACCGTGCTGCTCAAGCTGCGCATGGCGCAGCACCTCCAGGCTGCCGTGGCCTTTGTGGAGCAAGGCCACGTGCGCGTGGGCCCCGACGTGGTGACCGACCCCGCCTTCCTTGTCACGCGCAGCATGGAGGACTTTGTCACGTGGGTCGACTCGTCCAAGATCAAGCGGCACGTGCTGGAGTACAATGAGGAGCGCGATGACTTCGATCTGGATGCCTAGCGGGTCTCCCTCTCCCCACGGCTGCCTTTTCCAGATGGGAAACTGAGACCCGATGCTGGAGATTCTAGGAGGATGCTCTCCCCAAGAGTGTCAGACGGCCCTAGGTTCTTGACAACTTGGTTCCTCCACTGCCCGCAGTGCAGAGAGCCCAGGGGGTGCGTCCGTCCCTGTTTTCCAGGAAGTTTTCTTAGAACTTGGACTACTGATGAATGGCTGTGTCTTGAGAGACAGTGGGAGGCAATTTTGTGCTGCCCAGGGGAATTGTTAGCGTTTTGGGAACTTAATAGTGTAAGAGCAAGGACACCCTCCACCACCCGTTTCCCTTTTAGCAGAACTGGTTCAGTTTATCTAGCTCGAATTCTTGCTCCTGGTGGTGATTAAGCAGTGTGTGGATGATGGAGCATTTGGACTCATATTTTCATAAGACAGATAAAGACTTGAATGTTAAGGTCACCTTTTTAAAGGAATGGTTTCCTAATATCAATAAATGGCCCGACTGCTATGTAAGTGCAGCGTTTGTCTATTTTTGTTTACTATACAGTTGTTATCTATACATCTTCTCCTTCAGGAACCCAGAGAAGAGGAATAGGGTCAGCAGCGACGTGGGTGGGTGAGGTCTGCAGCAGGGGCTGCCTGTGGAGGATGCAGGATATGGTACAAGACCCAGCAAATGTGTCACTTTACCAAGCCCTTCCTTAGAATGTGTGTGTTGGCAGAGCTCTTCCCCACAGGACTTCCTGTTGATATTCCAGCCCCAGGAAGCACCACATTAGAGGTTTGGAGTGTTTGCTTGCCTAAGGAAATAGTCACCCTGTAGCTTGGCCATCTAGTGGTTAGAAGTGGCCCAGGAGGTTCCTGGAAACTTGGTTGTTCTTGGGAGTGGCAGAAAATGAGAAGGGAGAGTGGGAGACTGCCACGTTTTACTCCAGACTTCTCAAAGGAGAGTAAACAGAATGCTGAGATCAGTGGTCTGGCTTTTGGATGTGCCTTCTCCACCTCCCCAGGTATAAGGCAGCATGTGATGAAGAAATGATGTGGGGAAGATGATATGGGATAAGGCGTCCACTATATGTCAGGCCGAGTGGTGAGTGCATGACAGCTATTAGCCATTTACAACAATCCTATGACGTGGGGAATCCAATTACTCTCCACTTTTCAGATGAGGGATGTGAGGCAGAGATGGGTCAAGTTACCCAAGATTGCATTCCCAGGAAGTGGTGGCCTGGGTCCATGCTCCTCCTTTGGAGACTGTCAGTGTCAGCAAAAGCAGCCCTTGGGGTGTGTCAGAGTTCAGAGAGAGGCCCTGAACTTGAATTTACAAGCAAATGGAAAAGCATCAGCATCAGGCAACGCAATTGGTATCAACAGAATTTGTGCAGGGAACAAGCACTGAACCGGGAAGACTTTAAGGGAAAAGGTATTCAGGCCTCCGTGTGTGAGACTGCCACTTATCCCTCCAAACAGCTCCGCCAGGTCGGTGGTGTATCTCGAACTTTTCATTTTGTCCAAGGCTGGGTTTCAAGTCCAGGCTCGTGTGACTTTTATAGGCCGCGCGTTCTTTTCAGTGCTGACCTTTTTAGAAATAGAATGAGAAAAATCCCACCCCCCAGTGCTGGTGACTGGGCAGTCTCTGCTCATGTGGTACAGCGTCCTCAAGGCCCCCAGGATTGTGGCGCTCACCAAGAGAGATGAAGGCAGGAACCTCCCGTGTCCCTCCTGCTCCTGCTAGATTCCACAAGGCACAGCAAACAGATCAGCCCCCTTGGGGTGGTTGGAAACTGCCCCCATAGCCCAAGCAGATACCACCTCAAAGTTCTCTTGAAAGAAACTGGCAGCCAGGCTCGGTGGTTCAGCCTGTAATCCCAGCACTTGGGGAGGCCGAGGCCAGTGGATTGCCTGAGGCTGTGGGTTTGAGACCAGCCCGGGCAACTTGGTGAGCCCTCGTCTCTACAATAAATCAAAAATTAGCCAAGAGCCAGGCTCAGTGGCTCAGCCTGTAAGCCTGCGCCTTGGGAGGCTTGAGGTGAGTGGAATGCCTGAGCGTGCAGGTTCGAGACCCGCCTGGGCAACTTGGCAAGACCTCATCACTACAATAAATCAAAAAAATCAGCTGGGCATGGTAGCGCGTGCCTGTAGTTCCAGCTACTTGGAAGGCTGAGGTAGAAGGATCACTGGAGTCCAGTGGGTCGAGGCTGCAGTGGCTGGGAGCGGCCACTGCACTCCAGTCTGGGCGACGGAGTGAGACTCCAACTCAAAAAACAGAACAAACAAACAAACAAAATTAGCCAAGCATGGTAGTGTGGGCCTGTAGTTCTAGCTACTTGGAAGGCTGAGGTGGAAGGATCGCTGGAGCCCAGCAGGTCAATGCTGGGGTGGCTGTGAGTGTGCCACTGCACTCCAGCCTGGGTGACAGAGTGAGATCCTGACCAAAAAAAAAAAAGTCGTCTTTTTTTCAACACTTTGAGAGATGGAGGTGAGATGATTGCTTGAACTCGGGTTTGAGACCAGCCTGAGCAACGTGGCAAGACCTTGTCTCTACAATAAATCATAAAATTAGCTGGGCATGGAGGCACATGCCTATAGTTCCAGCTACTTGGAAGGCTGAGGCAGGAGGATCGCCTGAGCCCAGCAGGCTGAGGCTGTGGTGGCCATGAGCATGCCACTGCACTCCAGCCTGGGCGACAGAGTGAGACTCTGACCAAAAAAAAAAAAAAAAAAATCTTCTTTGTCCCTTTTTGGTGAAGATGAGAAGGAGATAAATGACTTAACCAGAATCTGTAACCAGAAACTTTGGACTTAAAACAAAAAATCTATGTAAGATAATGATTCTGAAAACAGGCTCTGGGGCCAGCCTGCCCAGTTTGAACATGACCTCTGGGCTGAGCTAGCTGAGTAGCATTGATTATTTCACTTAACCTCTCTGTGCCTCCATTTCCCTCATCATAGAAATGTGGTAGACCTCCCTGCAGCCCAGAACTCAAAAAGCTGGTTTCATGGAGACCATGAGTTCTGGGAAAGAGAGAGGGATTACAAAAAAAAATTGTTTTGAAGAAAAATAATATGGGGGAGGTTTAGGGGATTATTGTTTAGTGGATACAGTTTCTGTTTGGGGTGATGAAAAGTTTTGGAAGTATGCCGGTCATGTTGGCTCACACCTGTAATCCCAGCACTTTGGGAGGCAGAGGAGAGGGGATGCCTGAGTCCAGGGGTTCAAGATCAGCCTGGGCAACTTGGTGAGACCTTGTTGCTACAATAAATAATAATTTTTTTTAAATTAGGTGGGTGTGGTGGCACACACCTGTGGATCCAGCTACTTGGAGGGCTGAAGCAAAAAGTTCGTTCGCCTGAGCCCTGCAGTTCAGGACTATGGTGGCGGTGAGCATGCCTCTTCACTCCAGCCTGGGCAACAGAGTGAGATTCTGACCACAAAAAAAAAAATCTTCTTTTTCAGCACTTTGGGAGGTAGAGGCGAGATGATTGCCTGAGCTCAGGGGTTTGAGACCAGCCTGAGCAACATGGTGAGAACTTGTCTCTACAATAAATCATAAAATTAGCTGGGCATGGAGGCACATGCCTATAGTTCCAGCTACTTGGAAGGCTGAGGCAGGAGGATTGCCTGAGCCCAGCAGGCTGAGGCTGTGTTGGCCATGAGCATTCCACTACACTCCAGCCTGGGCGACAGAGTGAGACTCTGACAAAAAAAAAAAAATCTTTCTCCCTTCTTGGAGAAGATGAGAAAGAAATAAATGACTTAACCAGAATCTGTAACCAGAAACTTTGGACTTAAAAAAAAAAAATCTATGTAAGATAATGATTCTGAAAACAGGCTCTGGGGCCAGCCTGCCCAGTTTGAATATGACCTCTGGGCTGAGCTAGCTGAGTAGCATTGATTATTTCACTTAACCTCTCTGTGCCTCCATTTCCCTCATCATAGAAATGTGATAGACCTCCCTGCAGCCCAGAACTCAAAAAGCTGGTTTCATGGAGACAATGAGTTCAGGGAAAGAGAGGGATCAGCAAAAAAAAATTGTTTTGACAAAAAATAATATGGGGGAAGTTGAGGAGATTTTTGTTTAGTGGATACAGTTTCTGTTTGGGGTGATGAAAAGTTTTGGAAGTATGCCGGTCAGCCCTGTAATCCCAGCACTTCGGAAGGCAGAGGCGAGAGGATTGCCTGAGTCCAGGGCTTCAAGATCAACCTGGGCAACTTGGCGAGACCTTGTTGCTACAATAAATAATTATTTTTTAAAAATTAGCTGGGTGCGGCGGCATACACCTGTGGTTCCAGCTACTTGGCGGGCTGAAGCAGAAAGCTCTCCTGAGCCCTGCAGGTCAGGACTGTGGTGGCTAGGAGCATGCCTCTTCACTCCAGCCTGGGTGACAGAGTGAGACTCCTACTCCAAAAAAAAAAAAGTTTTGGGCAAGGCTCGGTGGCTCAGCCTGTAATCCCAGCACTTTGGGAGGCTGAGGTGAGTGTATTGCCTGAATCCGCGGGTTCGAGACCAGCCTGGGCAACTTGGCGAGACCTTGTTTCTACAATAAATCAAAAATTAGCTGGGCGTGGTAGCTCGTGCCTATAGTTCCAGCTACTTGGAAGGCTGAGGCGGAAGGATCGCCTGAGCCCAGCAGGGCGAGGCTGCAGTGGCTGTGAGCGTGCCACTATACTCCAGTCTGGGCAACAGAATGAGACGCCACCTGTGCAACTTGACGAGACCTCATCTCTACAATTAAAAAAAAGGAAAAAAATGATTAAAATAGCAAATTCTATGTTACATATTTTTCACTGCTTTATTTATTTATTTTTATATATATATATTTTTTGTTGAGTTGGAATCTCACTCTGTCACCCAGACTGGAGTGCAGTGGCTGCTTCCCGCCACTGCAGCCTCAACCTACAGGGCTCTGGCGATACTTCCGCCTCAGCCTTCCAAGTAGCTGGAACTACAGGCACGTGCTACCACGCCCGGCTAATTTTTGACTTATTGTAGAGATGAGGTCTCACCAAGTTGCCCAAGCGGGTCTCGAACCTGCGGGCTCAGACAATTCACTCACCTCAGCCTCCCAAGTGCTGGGATTACAGGCTGAGCCACCGAGCCCGGCTTGCTTTATTTATGTATTGCTTTTTCTTTTGAGTCAGTGTCTCACTCTGTTGCCCAGGCTGGGAGGGCAGTGACACACTCACGGCCATAGCAGTCTCAACCTGCTGGGCTCAGATGATCCTTCTTGCCTTAGCTTTCCAAGTAGCTGGAACCACAGGATCTTTTTGATTTATTGTAGAGACGAGGTCTCACCAAGCTACCCAGGCTGGTCTCAAACCCCTGGGCTCAGGTAATCTCGCCTCTGCCTCCCAAAGTGCTGGGATTACAGGTGTGAGCTACTGCACCCGGCCCACTGCTTATTTTAAAGTAAAAAAGGAGAGTGGTTACAAAAAATAGTACGGACATTAAAGATTTTTTTTTTTTTTTTGAGTTGGAGTCTCACTCTGTCACCCAGACTGGAGTGCAGTG